CTCAGCGTTTGAAATTGGGGCAGGGGACCAGACTCCCAGGCCTCGTATTTTACGGATCAACATTTGAAGGTCGAATTCAAAATAGTGCTATACTCATGCGTTTGAAAACAAAATAAATAATAGACAACAAATAGATGTGGCTGCTTGGTAGAGGATATATTGATATATTGCATTGTGATATTGGTGTTTGTTGCACTAGGTAGTATGTTCGTCTTTCATAATACATATCCTGGGTTCGAATTCCTCCCAAGGTACGGTGAGCTAGAAATTTACTTTACAAGAAATCCCATGGAATTAGTATGCACATAATGCAATGACATATCAATTAAAAAATGAAACAAAAGTCAGATTTAAAGGCAGCATTTCAATTAGTGTCATGTGGGATTTCGAAATATCTCGTTGGTTGGTTAAAGCATTAGTGAGAATCGAATACCCAACCTTTGGTCATTTGTGCTGAAAATTCAAGATGGCGACCAAATCATGACTGAGCTGAATTCTTTTTTTAGCGATCTTAAAGAGCTCAATATAGAGATGCAATGTGGCGAATAATGACGTAACTGCGCCATAAGTAAAACAATACTTTCTGTTTAGAAGAAATACAAAATGGCGGCCAAAGCACGTGACCAACCATAAATTGTCAAACTTGTGCTTCACATATACAGATGCTAAAAAAAAACATTTCAGACAAATGTGTTTGGTGGTTCCGAAGCAGAAGATTTTCAAGAGTTTTTGCTGTTTTTTTTTTTTAGATGGTGGAAAAAGTCCTGTGGGCGCCAAGAGATGTTATTCCAGATATTAGTATCTATTTCACATAAGTTGTACTATACCATAAAAATTAGGTGATCTAGATCCTCAGAAAGTGGTCAAATAGTCAGTCACTTTCGGTTTAATTTCTATTAAATATGGCCGGCGAACCAATTGATCAATCAAATTTATGAAAGTCATATGAACCAGTTCAGTTATTCGTATGAACAATTTAAGACCATTCCGTTCAGCGTTTTTTTTTCAAAACCATGAATGGACAGTGGAGATTTTGGGCAACATTACAATATGCTGATGCTGATACTTTGTTGTTGTTGTTGTTGTTGTTGTAACTATAATGTCGGCCATGTAAACGTTGCAACCCGTCTAGATCTCGACTTCTGTATTTATTTATTTATTTATTTATTTATTTATTTATTTATTTATTTATTTATTTATTTATTTATTTATTTATTTATTTATTTATTTATTATTTATTTATTTATTTATTTATTTATTTATTTATTTATTTATTTATTTATTTATTTATTTATTTATTTATTTATTTATTTATTTATTTATTTATTTATTTATTTATTTATTTATGTATTTATGTATTTATTTATGTATTTATTTATTTATACTCTTCCCTTGATGTCAAAACATGGCAAGGTAGCGACTGCAAGTCCTGAAGAAGCAACAGACTGTCGACTGAACTGAATTCTGACTAGTAAACCCAGTTAGTGAATTTAATATTCCCGCTACTCTGTAATCAAATGATCAAACCGAGTCAGAAACTGTGACGTCGATAAATTGACATTTTTGAGTAAAACATTACTGCCCCTCCTGTTATCGTTCAACAACCCGGTCAGAAACTATCACACCCTGTCTTACTACAAACTGCACCACAAAGTCTGTTGCCTGCACACTTAGATATAATTGATAGCACCACAATGTTGAAAACTAAAAAAATATGGAACCAAGTTTGCAGCAATTCGGTGGCGGCGGCGGCCGAAGAGGGGTAGAGGGGGCGATCAGCCCCTCGAAAAAAATGTAGGGGCATAGCCCCTCCAAAATAAATAAAGATTTATAATAAAACGCTTTGTGTTGCTTCCCAAAATGCAGGAAATAGAGTTTCAGAGAGTCTAGATTTCAATTTTTTTTGAGATCCTGCCCCAGACCCCCGTGTAAGGTTTCGTTTTCAGCGCAAGGTTCATGAGCAGATCTCGCCCCTCATGCAACATGTCGTGCCACCGCCTCTGCAATTATAGCGTTATTATTAATCTGCAGTACCAGCTAGCCCTGTTTTACCATTTGTGACCAATGGTTACCTGACAAGAAGTTTGGATCAGTCACAGGGGCATGATGGCGGGGCAGAATCATGCAGAGATATTGGAATTCAACAAAGTAGACTTGACTTCATGGTGTCATCACAAGAGCTAAACATACGCACACGTGAACAAATAAACATTTCGATTGATTTTGAAACAAAGTATGTGACGGGACGTCAGATTTGGGGATGTTTTAGAGAGTATCTCAAACTGTATTATTAATCTTATGGGACAGCAGAGCATATCTTCAATCAATCATAAATAAACAATTCAAAAACTAGTACGAAAAATTAATATAATGTACTTCTTCGACAGTTAAATATATACGACACTCAGTATGCCTATAGTGCGTTAATTGTGACGTCCAACAACCACTGTTTGATCCTATTTTTATTCCTGTCCATCCATGCCATATTCGTTTCTACTTTCTGCATAGCACCATAAAATCCCCCCGCGAAGGCTGGAGGCATATCTGCATGTTTAGCGCCAAATACCTTGAGCTGAAAGAAAAATATATTACAATAGTATTAGTGTATGAAACAGCACGGCAAATAGGGGGTGTTGTGAGAGCGTAGAACGAAACAACTGACCTACGTCCCATGATGTTAGCAACTTACACAATGGATGCTTTAATTTAATTTGATATATTAGCCAAGGTCAACATATTTTTTCATCAACAAACTGTTCTTTTATTTCTACCATCTATTGACACTGATTACTCGGGATCCAGAACCGCACCTGCTTTACCACTTCACGGGTTAAAATAACTCCACCCACCCAGCCACACAGTGAGATTTTCAGGCCAACTATGGCTCGTCTGACATTAACACAAGAAATCACCAGCTGCAACGCGGTTGCCGGTTGGCTAACTTGCACTGTCAATTATCCAACCAGTGTATAGTCACTAAGTGTATATGTCAAGTACCTGTTCATAATCATAGTCGTGTTCATCCAGTCTGAAACTCCCATA